CTGATGGGCTCGCCGAGGTAAAACACATTAACTCCACGTTCGTGCTGCCAGTCGTCTGCACAGAGATCAGAGTGGTGAGCATAAAATCAAGGCCAAGAAGTTAGTGATGAAGTCAACTCACCTGTCATCAGCTTCAGGTCAAACTCCAAGCGTTCCTCTGCGATCTGCCTAGATGTGAAGGGGACCCAGGCTGGCTGGAGTGGAGAGCTGGACAAACTGTACTTCCTAAAATACAAAGCACTTTTTAAAAGAGTGAAGAATATATTGATAATCTTTGAAGGTGTACTTTTTAAAAAAGGCATACAAACCTTTCATAATGGCACTCAATTGGAATCACAGCCTCCTCCATTCGGATTACGCCATGAGGAGAGGCCACAGGAGCGTAAATGAGGAGGTTTGTGTAGACCAGACATTCGTCATTCATCTGTGGGGAGCAGGTGTGTTTATAAGTAGACGATGTAAGATTTAATACGTGTCTAAGCTGCAGCACAGATTAGTTACCATGTGTTTGGTGCCGCAGTCCGCGAGGCCAGCGTGGATCCTGTACTCATCCTTCGAGGCCGCTGCGGCTCTGCAGTCGTCGCTGTCCTCCACTCCAAGGCGGAGGTCATCGCTGTTAACAGGAGCTCCAATAGCAAACATGTCTGCCTTGATCACGACCTCCAGAGAGTCCGGGTGGCAGATCACACCAACGGTGTTCACGTGCTCCCGTTCTCTTTGCTCCTGGTGCGCGCTGTGCGCGCTGTGCGTGTGGCCGTGGCTCCACGGACGCGGAGCCCTCTGGAAGAAAGCATGAAGCGGTGGCGGCGGGAAAACTAAAGATGACTGAACGCAGAGTCCCGACAGGAAGAGCCCAACGAGGAGGTCAACCCAAAAATGCAAAGGCTCCATGAAGAAAACAAAAACGAGGCAACCAGCTTCGGACCGCGAGCGCTCCTGTCTGACCCACGAGACAGCGCTCTAGGCTGACACTAGGAGCGTTTTAAGCTTCAACCAATCAGCCTTGTCAGAGTACCCCGCACACCTGAGTCCACTCAAACACTAATGAGCTTCTATCTGCATCCACGCAGTCTCGGGGTTCCTCTTGCCTCCTTTCCTAAACTCCCTTCCTTCACAGAAACCTCATTGAGGTTAAGGAAAAGTGGGTAGGAAAGACGGGTAGGAGGCTTCATATGGATTTGGGAAAAGTTATAACTACGTACTTTATGCAGATCGTGTTAACGAGAGCAGTCTGTGAGAAATTGTTGGAACTGTACAAAGATCTAACACCGAACAAGGGTGCTTTGTGTACCTCGTGGTTGTAGTAGTTGCTTCTATGTGAGTGTTAATTTACTTGTACTGAGAGGGAGCGAACGAACTGGCACATTGGATGAGTGGCTCAAAGATGTGAGCGAAGTGCCCAAACATGGCTCTGTCGTGAAACTCTTCATTCCGTGTTCACGATGAGTGTTTAGAGCTGACGCCCACTCACTGATGCTCAACGACGACACTGCTCAGATCAGGGGCGATTCTAGGATCAGAGCTTTGGGGGTGCTGAGCACCCAGAGAGCTGCCCAGCCAGGCAAGATAAACTTTACTCGTCACGATGAGACTTCTTCCCTGTCTCTGTCAGTCCCTGCATCCTTAAATGTCTCCAGTTGTCCCGAGTTCTTTATGACTGTCTCCTTGGTGCATTTAAACCCCTGTACCCTGTGTAAACCACTGTCCTCAGTGTCTGTTGTCTTAGTCTCCGTTATCAGTCATCATAATTTTACCATCTCTGTGCAAGTCTGCAAATTTCTTTATTAAATCATAAGATTCTTAAATTCATCAAGTCTCTCTGTGCCTGGGTCCTCGTCACAAAACACAACATCACTGTTTTTGTCACTGTACATTTTAACACAATTTAATCCCCAAATTTTGAAAAGTCTATAACAAAACCATCAAATCTGATAAAGTTTATTTAAATGCTGCAAAAGAAGAATGGATTGGAATAAAAAAAATACATATCCTAACCTTAATTACTGCGGGAGAATAATGAATGATGCTCATAGTGAGTAAAAAGTAAACTGAGTGTTTTTTTTGGACAGAGATTCATTTTTAATGTGTATGTATAATATAATACAGATACATAAAAAACACTCCCAAAACAGAATAAATTATTACAAATAAATTCTTACAAAATATTAATAAAAAAATATAAAAATGGAGGCAACTTTGCCTGTGGTAGAATGTATACAATGTATGAAAAAATCTTTACTGCAGATACTAATTTTACTAATTTAATAATAATAATTTTGTGTTGTAAGATTTATGAGTTTCATGCTTTCATAGTGGTACTTAGGAGAGCTTGACATTTTTCTCAGGTGGTACACACTGTAAAAAGTTTGAGAAACACTGATAAGGTAAGTGTATGTGTGCTTTTGGAAAACATTTACCAGTAAAGCTGCAGTACAGAATCTTTTGAAACAAGCTTAAAACATTTTTAGAATATAAACAGAGCATCTGCTTCTCTTTACAGCTCCTCACTCCACCAGGGCTGTTTGGCACTTTCTGATAGTGTGCAAATGTGATGTACGTACTGCGGCAGTCATACAGACAACTGGATGGTCCAAAAGTTGGCCTACCTATTACTGGCTGAGGTTTCAGTAGAGTTGTGGCTGAACCACATAAAAATATATCATTAATTTTAATTTCCCCAATCAATTATAATGTTATGTTGGAATGTTGTTAAAGAGGGTCAAAATGTTTCAACCCAGTTTGTTTTGCAGATTCTGTATAGCAGCTTTAATATAGGGAGGACACAACTTCCTGATTGTGTGAGTTTTTTTCTCTTTGTCAGTTTAAAAGTTTCTGTTGTGCCTGTCACTGTTCCCTGTCTGGTTCTTCCTGACCTTGTACTTTCTCCTCACGTTCCCCTCTTTCCTCTCTCCCTCTTTGGACTGATGATCATACACAAATAGATTGTATTCAATTAGATGAAAAAATTACATTAATATGAAAAAATACTATTAAGATCACTAATGAAAAGTCCTCTCTCAGTCTACTTTCAACCAAAAGGCAAATAACCAAACCACATGAACATCTAATAAAAGATAAATATTGAAACACTGATCCAACATTATCCTTTATTGACGAATCATTTGATTTTACACTTTTACCTGAATGTGGCTCCTGGGTTTAATATTGGCACAAATGACAACATAACCAGCTTCTCTCGTTCCATTTCAAACAGGACAGTGGTAACAACAGCAGGCTACGGACAATTTTAAGTTTTAGATTTTAAATAGGCTGTATACATTTCAATGGGAGCAACAGGACGGTCAAATGTCGCTGATTTTACTACAGAGCAGGACGGATTGTAGGGTAGCAAACATTGTCTATATACTTTTGTTGTTGAAATGTTACGTCTCAACCAAGTACTGTATGCTTTTATATTTTTAGTAGTGTGTCACAAAAACAGCAAATATTGTCAAAAAAGTAAGAAATCTTTGGGGGTGCTTCAGCCCCAAAATGGTCTAAAATTGCCCCTGGCTCAGATCGTCATGAAACGGAGCAGAAATCAGCTGATCTGCGCTGTCTTTATATGAGCAGTGCGCAGATTTCACTGTACTGATTTAGTAACGATGTTAGAGATTGAGGAAATGTTTGTTAGATGTTAATGTGTGAATATTGCAATGTGCAACAAACAGACAAAACAAAAGACCCAAAAGCAAAAGAGATGAGCGCATTTACGCACGTGGCCCAGTAGCACAGTAACCTTCATTATTAACAAAGGCAGAGCTCCGGATCTGATAGTGAATAATATAATACAGGTTTACTGTTACACCCAGATTTCAAATAAAATGCATCATATTTTTTTTTTTTTTTTTTTTACTAATGATTTATTATTTACATTTTGTTCTTTGTTTATGTATAAGGTAGTTCTCTGGTGCTGGTGCTTTCATTCATTAAATGAAACACATCATATATATTTCCATATGCACATGTTGTTTTCAATTCAATTCAATTCAATTCAATTCAATTCAATTAAATTTTATTTATATAGCGCCAAATCACAACAAAAGTCGCCTCAAGGCGCTTAAAGGCACGTTTTAGGTTCTTTTTCTGTGTGTGGGTAAAGAGAATGAAAAGGAACTCTTGGAGACGAGTGTCAGGGAGGATTTTGTTACAGAAGGGTGGCAGCAAGACTGAGAGGGAAGGTTTACAAGATGGTAGTGAGACCTGCTATTATGTACAGTTTTGAGATAGTAGTACTGACAAAAAGACAGGAGGCTGAGCTGAAGATGTTAGGGTTTTAATTGGGAGTGACGATAATGGACAGGATTAGAAATGAGTACATCACACGGACAACTCAGGTTTGGAGACAAAGTTAGAGAGGTGAGGCTGAAATAGTTTGGGCATATGCAGAGGAGGGACAGCTGGATGTTGAAGATGAAGCTGCCAGGAAGGAGGAATAAAGGAAGACCTCAGAGATTCATTGATGTAGTGAAGGAGGACATGCAGAGGGCTGCTGAGGTGACCCCTGAAGGGAGAAGCCAGAAGTTAATTTTCCTGTGAGTATGTAAGTAATGTTCACAGATTTATGTTCTGTATTGTTTTACGTATGTTAGATCTTTCTGTGTTAAGGAAGCTATAAAACCACCTCCCACACTCTGCTCCACCAAGCGTGGCCTCCTGACTGCAGGAACTTCACACAGTCACACAGAAACAAACTAGTTTTCGTATTTAATCTGTGTTTAGTTGATAATGTTGTAACCTGACTGTTGGAGGCAGTCAGAAGATTCACATGTTAGAACTCTATATTTGTTTTTACTTGACTAATTTTTAAAAAAAAAAAACTTCTTGAGGATGTTGAGGATTCATTTTCGCTGTAGTTTTTTACTCAGAGGGGTGTGCACCCAGCACGTGACAACCTTTAAAAGTCAGTTAGAAAATCTAAGCGTGGAGCTCGGAGACCAAGGGGAGGATTTTAACAGCTGCTCTCGCTTTGAAGTCGTCTTCCTGCTTTGAGGTGAAGAACAATGAATAGGGTGAGGCTGTCCACAGAGACTCACAAGAGTGTGAAACAAAGAGGAAGGACACATTATGACTGAGCTGCGGTGGATCTCAGAGCTTCTGTAACTGAACGGACAATGAAGGCGAGCCCGGCCTGGATTCTTATTTTCTTTCAGCTGTTCGAAGGTAAGAAATACGGACATTTGAATCATATTAATAATAATGTGTGTGTGTGTAGACTTAAACTAAAAGTTTGTAAGAGAAGGTTTAAATCATAAACTTTGGTAATGAATAAAAGGAACATTTGATTTCATGATGGGGGAAAAAAATCAACCTCCACAACGAGATGTAAAGAAAGTGGAAAATCTGATGGCTCCTTCTCCAGCTGTTTGGACATATGATAGACAGAAGGGTTAATCCTCAGGGATGTTGAGACATATTTCCGTGTGGAGTTAACGTCTATCATTCCCTCCTTCAGCCAACGCAGAGGTGATCTTAAAACGTCTGATGGAGGGTCAGGCTGTGGTGATCTCCTGCTCCCCTTGGCAGGCCCACGGAGGCCTGACGGGCCTCCACCTGTACCACCGCGGTGTCCAGAGCCAGACAACCCTGGTGTCCGTGACAGAGGCCGGTGAGGTCACGGTCGCCACGGATCACAGAGCTCGCCTGGTGCTCCGTGGAGGCCTGAGCTCCATGAAGGTCAACGTGACCATTTCTCGCTTAGAGCTGAGCGACACAGGGCTGTACATGTGGGATCTGAGCTACAGAGACACTAACAGCTCTGATCAGATGATCCTCTGCGCTCAGAAGACCTTCGTGCTGGTTGAGGAGGCAGGTATGTGGTTACACCACCTCGCAGTGCAGGATTCAAGCTTGTTGAGATTTAACTGTTGTTTGTGCTGCAGGGAGGCCGTGCCACTGCTCTCCTGGTTACGCCCCTCTACTCTGGACCATCTTCACAGCAGCAGGGCTTCTTCTGCTGACCCTCACCTGGCTGGCCATCCAGAAATGTGTGAGTAGTTACCTCAGAGATGCAGCTTTAACCGAGCTCTGATCAAAATAACGGCTGCAGCTGCACGAGTGAGTTACACGAGGCTGATTATCAATTAATGTGTCGGCTATGATCCTGGTCTGACAGTTATCTGGTTTTTTTTGAGGGAATCTTCTGATAAAGTGTGATGTGTGACTGCAGCATCGTTACTCAAAATGTGCAAAAGGCATTAGCAGACAGGAGCCCAAGTTAGAGGTGAACCACAGCAGGATCTGCGTTCAACAACCCAGACAACCTCAAATGACTGTATGCTTCATTTCCTGCTGCGTTATTATTAATACCATCAGTTTTGCACAAAATAGCCAGGGTGCAAAACCCAAGGACAGAACAGTTTCTAATGTAATAAGTATCATTTGCCTTTTTAAGTAACAAAACTTTATAAGGTCTGTGATCAGGTACTGGTGGAGTGAGGGTTAAAGGAGAGATTACTGGAGTATTTTGATCTTTTGAGACTGAAAACCCCCAAGGGATTTTATTTTTTTTTTTAAAATCAAGATGACACATCCAAGCTACAAAAACAAAACAAAAGCTGAAACTTTTTGTTCTATCACAATCTAAAAAAACCCAAACATGATGTGTTGTAGGTGAAGTTGAGGTCTCATCGCAAACCACAACCTCACGCTCCGATCTATGAGGAAATGGGCAGGAAGCAGCATCAGCAGAGCCCCAGAGGCCCCCAGAATAACCACGAGGCTCCCTCGCACCTGGAGGAAGTCAACTTCCCCGTGTACGCTAACCCAAACATCCGACATCTTCAGGACAACTACTACGCCTGTCCCAGACAGCTCAAACTGAGAGACTGACACCATCGGGCCAACGGTGCTGCGAGCCGTAACAGGAAATAACGCGTTTGCAAAAATACAAGCGCTGCACACGCTCTGATGGTGATTTGCATTCAGGATACGAAAGGATGAAGAAATAAGAACCCAAGAGCACAAACCTCCACTGAGGCGACTCACTCTCTGAGCAGTATTCACTTTTAAAATTGTATTTTGTACACATGCATTTCGTTTACTTTGTTCTTTTTAAACATAATTTAAGAAGTTTGTTATTTTCTCTGTTCAAAACCCTTCTTATATATGTGATCAAACATTTGAGTGGTGATACTTAAAAATGGTTAGTAAAACTTTAGAGGTGTAACTCATTTTGTCTCAACTTGAAAGAAAGGCAGACGTAAAAAGTAAAAATGAGGTCAGAGGTCACAGGTCAAATGTGACATTTAGAATTCCTGCACACCGTTATCAGTTAGCAAAACAAAAATAGCTCTATATAAACATTATTATCACTTTTATCTTCAGCTAAATCTACTGAGCTTGAAGGAGCGGTCAAAGGTTAAATATGACATATTTTAAATCTTTATACCAGGGGTGTCGTTATATGGCTTGGGGGCCAGAAACGGCCAGGTAGAGAAGACCTCCCCCATGACCAGTCACACTACACCAGAGTAATTAAGTAATATATAAACAAAGTAACAGTCTTTTCACCATCTACTCTTCCATTTCCATTAACTACAGCAGCATTTCTTCATCATGAACTCAGATGTTCTGCTGAAATTGCACTTTTTTTTTTCTTACATCTGAGAGATTGTGTGTGGTTAAACTTCTTCACAATGACAAAAATGAGTTTAAACTCGCTGTTTACATAATAAATTTTTACGCTGATAACACACCACACTTGTAAGAATCATAGCGTCTGAGTCAGAAGGCTTTTTGTCAATTTTCGACCAATAAATCATTGAGTCGACCTTAAAGACCTCGATGGACTGTTAACCCGACCCCGCTCTACACCCTGTGGCAAGTCTTTGAGCTATCGTGTTTACAGACAGGACAACACACATTAAACCTTATTGGTGGAAGCAATACATGAGAAGGGGACGGCTTTAACAGCCAAGAAACAAAAAAATGCTATTTTTATTAATATTTGAAAGAAGCTCCATAGTTCATGAAAACATTTGTTTCGGTGCATGTCATTTAACAATCACATTCTATGAGGAGTAAGAGATATACAGAGAGAAACAAAATAATAACAAAACATTACAAGCCACTGACTTCTCATTAACTCTCAGTACAGACATTTTTACTTAATATTTCAAACAAAAGAAAAAAAACAAAAGCAGCCCTAATCCCATAACTTTCCCACCCACCCTCTGTAAAACCTTAACTGAGGAGAAAAACAAACAAAAACAACAACAAAAAAACCCTTGGAGGGTGACAGGCTAGAATCCCACAGTGCTAAAGAGTGAGACGCTCATTGGTTTTTAGGAATACACAGCATGGTGATGTAGCGCTAGGCCAATCTGAATCAGAGAGTGGGGGGAGGAAGCTGGAGATGGAGGTCTCCAACCCCTCTCTGCCCTCTTTATCAAAGAAAAAAACAAAACAACTCAAACAAATAAAAACACATTGGATCCCCAAAACCCCTGCAATAGATCAGCCACCTACAGCAAGTAGGCCATAAAATCCCCACCTTCACCCCTCCCACCCCCACCCCAAACACTTGTGCATAGTTTCATGATCCTTTTACAACCAGCTCACGTTTTACAAACATCCTCCAAGCTGTGAAAAATGCTCCACAAAAAGAAAGAAAACAAAATTCATCTATTATTAATATTAATAATAATACCCGCTGTGGGAGAATGAGAGCGAGAGAGATAGAGACAAAGAGAGAGCGAGAGAGAGAGAGAGAGAGAGAGAGATTAATGCACAATGTTTCCTGAATCAGTCAGGACGGGACCTCATTAAGAAAACACAATAAAGATTCAAACATACAGCATTTTGCATGTTATTCACCATCTTTTTTTTTCTTTTTTCTTAAACAAACTCAGACCATTTTTGTTTTTGTTTTTTCCATGTAAAGCAATTTTAATATATAGATTTATATATAAAGCACTCCATTTTTATTTTAAAGTCCATTATTTGGTTATTATGTAACTGCTACGGATTTAGAAACAAAAGGTATTCTCTCTTCTTCTGAAATCCATAACTTTCAGTGCTTAGAATTGTTTCTTTTAAGTCATCCTTTGTTTTTTGTTTTTTTGTTTTTTTCTTTAAACTCATAAAAATGTACATTAAAATGGCGTGGAGTTGGTACTCTGGAACCCTGGCCTTCCTGAGACAAGATCCACTTTTTCGTGTGTGTGCAAGATAGTGAGCAATTATGTCTTTTTTTGTCTTCTTTTCTGTTTTTTATATAAAGGAAAAAAATATATATAATCAACATAAAACAAACAGGCTTCAGATAGTCCATGAACAACATTAACACAGAATAAAGAAGGTTAAACATAACAAGACAACACTGTTCAATCCCAGAGTTCTGAAAGTAGCACAATAAAATCTTCATTCTGTGAAGTGTTGCACTTTTTCTTAAAAATGGAAGCATTTGTCCTTTTTTTTTTTT